ATAGATCCCAGTGATGGCTGCTGATGTGAAAATCCGGTGGAAGCTCAGTTCTAGCGACTTAGCCCTGCAGCTGAATACTGCGGTTTAAAACGAGTTGGTTTGTCGTCTGTGGGTCACGAGCGAACTTTCTTGTTGACAATCAGAGGCTCAGCTGGCTCTCACGGAGAATAAGATTGCATTGAAGAGGTGACTTTTAGAAACGGGCCTTCAACTTGAATATGGTAGGAAAAAGCGCGCTGAACTTTTAGGGATTAAAACGAAAGCGGTTTCGTGTGAGAAGTTCAGTGAGGTGCTGGAGTTGAATTTCTGGACGACGAACAAAGTATTCTGCATCTGCCACCTGTGAGAACGGAAGTCTAAGAGTCCTGAAAGGCAAGTCTTGGTGCCCTCCTACCAATAACTAGGACATAGTTAAGCGATTGAAAGAGTGTTTTGAGAAAGTCCTTAGTCACGAGCAGCCGCAGGAAGACTCACTTGAAGAGTTACAGGCAAGGGATATTAGTCTTTCAGTAGATTTAGTCGCAGAAGCTCTTGAAGCTTACAAAATGGTAAGGCTGCTAGAATCAGTGAAATACGTGTTGAAACGCTTAATGCTTCAGGCGATCAAGCCATGTTATAGCTAACATATGTCCCTGAAACTTCACTGGCCATGAAGAAGCACCAGTGGACTAGAGAACGCGAGTTTTAATACCCCTGTTCAAAAAGGGAGACCGTAATGAGTGTTCCAATTATTGAGGTGTTACCATGTGGAGTCTCTGGAATATTCTACGCAAAGGTGTTAAAAACTAAGTGCCGCGTATTACTCACTCTAAGATACAAAAAGAGCAATGCGAATTACTGTCTGTCTCAAGCACATCTGATCCGTTTTTCACCTTACTCCGTCTTCATCTTCTTCATCTTCCATCGCCGCTTCTCCTTTCGGGTCGTGGAGGCAGACGCGTCAGACAGTACTTCCAACGTTCCCGATCCTGTGCCAGAGTGTGAGCTTCGGCAAAAGACAAATCCAGTCTGGAACAGACTCCTACCACGTGTTTGCACCAGCTTAATCTTCGCCGTCCCCTGGGCCTTCTGCCGGTCGGATTTGCAAGAAACAGTTGCTTATCCTTCCTTTCTGCAGGCATTCGCAACACATGCCCAAGCCATTGCAGCTGTGACTTCTCAATCTGGAGATGCAAAGGCTGTATTCCAAGGCTCTTCCGGATGTCACTATTCCGGACCATTTCGAGACGCGTAAGGCCAACGAATCGTTTATGAAAGCCCATTTCACCAGCTTGTACCCAGGTTCGAAGTTTTCCAACGATGGTCCACC